GCAAGACTCTCAGCTACCTCCTGCCGCTGTTTCAACGGCTCATGGTCCAGCCAAGCCTGGACTCCCTTCGTATCCCCGCTCCCCGAGGCCTAGTCCTTGTTCCTTCCCGAGAACTGGCCCAACAGGTGCAGGCTGTGGCCCAACCCTTGGGCCGCTCCTTGGGCCTGCTGGTGCGGGACCTGGAGGGAGGCCACGGCATGTGTAGGATCAGGATGCAATTGGCCAGACAGCCTTCAGCAGATGTGCTAGTGGCCACTCCAGGGGCTCTGTGGAAGGCCCTGAAAAGTCGACTGATTAGTCTGGAGCAACTCTCGTTCTTGGTGTTGGATGAGGCAGACACACTGCTGGATGAAAGCTTCCTGGAACTGGTGGACTGCATCTTAGAGAAGAGCCACATAGCAGACGGCCCAGCTGACTTGGAAGACCGCTTCAATCCCAAAGCTCAGTTAGTGCTGGTAGGAGCCACATTTCCCGAAGGTGTAGGCCAGTTGCTGGATAAAGTCGCCAGCCCAGATGCTGTCACCACCATCACCAGCTCCAATCTCCACTGTATCATGCCTCATGTGAAACAGACATTTCTGAGACTGAAGGGAGCAGATAAGGTAGCCGAGCTGGTGCACATTCTCAAGCATCATAACAGAGCAGAAAGGACTGGCCCCTCAGGAACTGTTCTGGTGTTCTGTAATAGCTCCAGCACTGTGAACTGGCTGGGATATATTCTGGATGATCACAAAATCCAACACCTAAGGTTGCAGGGGCAAATGCCGGCCTTAATGAGGGCAGGAATCTTCCAGTCCTTCCAGAAGAGCTCCCGAGACATACTTCTCTGCACAGACATAGCCTCTCGGGGCCTGGACAGCACCGGTGTGGAGCTGGTTGTCAATTATGATTTCCCCCCAACGCTGCAAGATTACATCCACAGAGCAGGGAGAGTGGGCCGTGTGGGGAGCGAGGTTCCAGGCACCGTCATCAGTTTTGTGACCCATCCCTGGGATGTGAGCCTGGTTCAGAAGATTGAGCTGGCGGCTCGCCGAAGGAGAAGTCTTCCAGGACTAGTATCCTCGGTGAAAGAGCCTTTGCCGCAGCAACCTGATTTTGACAAATCTGATTAAAATGTGATGCTAGAACAGGGATATTTCCCAGTATCTTGAGTGGGTGATCACACTTGTAAGTGGGAGGCTGTGGGCTGCCGTCAGCTCCTTGAGGGTAGGATGAACTGCCATGTGACTTGGAAAGGTAAGATGCTAGCCAGCATTGGAGAAGAAGCTGCTGAGCATGGCTTTCTGTAGTCTTTCACAAGACACAAGTGGATTTTGACTTTGTATCATGTCATGATTTCTAATAATAAATGATGTTTTTATGTGCCTCCCCTAAGAATATTTAGCACTGGAGTGGAATTCAGTAGTTTCTGAGGATTCATACCCCAGACTGCCACATCTAGGACAAAGGCTCTTTCAGTTGATGTTTTAATTTATAAACATTGAGTTTTTATTTCCTGCCCCCAAAAAGGTATCCATTAAGCCCCCAGGGAAAGGAAAGGAACTATGACCAGCAGTAGACAGAGTTCTTCACTAACAGCGCTCAAGACAAACGGGCATCTTGGCGAAATCTCTCTGGAAGGTACCGGCAGGAAAGTAAAGGGTAGACTAACACAGAAGTTTTGCTTGTACTTCTATCCCAACTCAGTGGCCGAGAAAGAGGAGAGATGATTAAACTGTTTTACAAAACTGGCAAGATAACCATATAGCATTTTTTTAATATATATATATACAAAAAAATTATAAAAATTAACCCGGCGTGGTGGCACGTGCCTGTAGTCCCAGCTACTCGGGAGGCTGAGGCAGGAGAGTCACTTGAACCTGGGAGGCGGAGGGTGCAGTGAGCCAAGATCATACCACTACACTCCAGCCTGGGGGACAGAGCAAGACTCTTATCTCAAAAGAAAAAAGCCGGGTGTGGTGGCTCACACCTGTAATCCCAGCACTTTGGGAGGCTGAGGCGGAAGGATCACTTAAGATCAGGAGTTTAAGACCAGCCTGGCAAACATGGCAAAACCCTATCTCTACTAAAAATACAAAAAAAAATTAGCTGAATGTGGTGGTGCACACCTGAAATCCCAACTACTTGGGGGGCTGAGGCGCAAGAATGGCTTGAACCCGGGAGGCGGAGGTTTCGGTGAGCCAAGATTGCACCTCTGCACTCCAGCCTGGGTGACAGAGCCAATACCCTGTCTCAAAAAAAAAAAAAAAACAATCCTGAGCCCCACTCCAGATGGGATTAAGTTCTCTAAAGTTTGACCTGAGAATACTGTCTTTGTAAACTCCCCTGGGTGATACTCTGGCCCTCCTAAATCGATGAACCATTTGTCTATGCTGTACTGCCTTTCCCAGAGTCCCAGCAAATTCCTATAAGGCTGTGTACCCCCACAAGACCAGAGGGATGCTTCTGGACAAGTACTCTCTCCAGAGCACTGGAGAATCTGAGTGATGTCTTGCTAGCCCTCCCGCCAGAACAAACTTCCCAGGAACCGTACCCTTGATATTTTACCTGCTACCACTCCCTGCAGGCCGTCTGCTATAATTAGCACCACACTAAAGCAACATATGAGAGAAGGAGCTGTGATTCTCAACCAGGGTGACACAGTCTCCAAAGATCTGGCCGTCTCTACCTCCTGGGCATATCCCCTCTGCAATAACCCCACTAAATAAATGTCCCATGTTTGTTTTTTCAAGGCCAGTAACAGGGAGACCTCTCGTAAAGGTTATCTCTCTTTAGTAGGAAGTTCTTGGCCGCACTGAACCAAAGGCTGCTCCTAGTATGGTCCTAATCAGGCTAAGGGCAGAGTTGCCTGTTTCTTTGAGTAGGACCAAATCACCTTTTTTATATGTAAAAAAATAGACACAAGGTCTAGCTATGTTACCCAGGCTGGTCTCAAACTCCTGGGCTCAAGAGATACTCCTGCCTCCACCTTCCAAAGTGCTAGGATTACAGGCGTGAGTCACCATGCCTGGCCCAAATGACCTTTTGGTACCTCTTTACAGTGCTGACCTGGGCTGCTGCTGGGGGCTAAACCTCATCCTTTCATAGTGATGAGACTGTCATTGTTTGCCTATTTAAAGAGAGGGCAGTGTAATGATAAGGTTATGATTTTGTATTGTTACTTTTTTTTTTTTTTTGAGACAGAGTCTTACTCTGTCACCCAGGCTGGAGTACAGTGGCACAATCTCGGCTCATTGCAACCTCCGCCTCCCAGGTTCAAGCAATTCTTGGGCCTCAGCCTCCTGAGTAGCTGGGATTACAAGTGCACATCAACATGCGCAGCTAGTTTTTATATTTTTAGTAGAGACAGGGTTTTGCCATGTTAGCCAGGCTGGCTGTGAACTCCTGGCCTCAAGTGACCCACCTGCCTCAGCCTCCCAAAGTGCTGGAATTACAGGCGTGAGCCAAGGCGCCTCACCAGTCATTTGGGATTCTTATCTTGTCATGAATTTGTTTGAATTTCATGTTAAAATAGGCTCACCTGTAGACGTGGCATCTCACATCTATAATCCCAGCACTTTGGGAGGCCAAGGCAGGAGGATCACTTGAGGCCAGGAGTTCCAGGTTACAGTGAGCTATGATGGTGCCACTGTACTCTAGCCTGGATGACAAAGTGAGACTCTGTTTCTGAAAAAAGAATAAATTTTAAAAATAGAACCATCATGTGCACTTCAGACAGTCATTTGGGAGCCTCATTTTGCCTTACAGCACATTTAACATACCTCCCAGTGTACATCACCTTTTTTTTTGGAGGGGGGGATGGAGTCTTGCTCTGTCGCCCAGGCTGGAGTGCAGTGGCACGATCTCGGCTCACTGCAAGCTCTGACTCCCAAGTTCACGCCATTCTCCTGCCTCAGCCTCCTGAGTAGCTGGGACTACAGCGCCCGCCACCACTCTTGGCTAATTTTTTGTATTTTTAGTAGAGACAGGGTTTCACCATGTTAGCCAGGATGATCTCGATCTCCTGACCTCGTGATCCGCCCGCCTCGGCCTCCCAAAGTGCTGGGATTACAGGCGTGAGCCACCGCGCCCAGCCACACCACCTTTAAATGTAATGAGCTTGTCCTCATTCTTAATAGCTACAAATCTGGAGCTCCAAACGAAGCCCTGCTGACAGAATGCCTCTCTGCTACCTGTATGACCTTGGATAGACCCCTAACCTCTTGGCTTTCTTGAGTCTTAGGTGGTAAAAATGTGAGGGTGCTATGAATTTACATTGGGGCAGAACAAAGTCAAGAAGAGCCTGTATGTTTTCAGTCTTCTTAATTGGAATGTATTCCCTCTCCTATTGAAACCGCCATGGCAAAATTACAACTGAGACAGTGAAAGAGAGTTGATCTAACCAACTCCATCTTGCTTGTAACCTCCAAGCTGTCCTTGTTCATTCCTGACCATAGGCTGAACTAACTTTGGGAGGAACTTAGTTTATCGTTTATAGTTTAAAACAAAGAAGATAACAGCCCTTTCCCAAAAGAAACCCCCTTTTTGCCTGGGGACTAGACTGCCTTTGTAACAAAATCAGCCAAAAGATTAGAAATTATGGTTTAGGAGTCATGCAGCTAAAGGCTACAGGGTTCTTTTTTCTTTTTCTTTTTTTTTTTTTTTTTTTTTGAGATGGAGTCACTCTTGTTGCCCATGCTGGAGTGCAAAGGCGCTATCTCGACTCACTGCAACCTCCGCCTCCCGGGTTCAAACAATTCTCCTGCCTCAGCCTCCTGACTAACTGGGATTACAGGCATCCGCCACCACACCCGGCTAATTTTTGTATTTTTAGTAGAGATGGGTTTCACCATGTTGGCCAGGTTGCTCTTGAACTCTTGACCTCAGGTGATCCACCCACCTCGGCCTCCCAAAGTGCTGGGATTACAGGCGTCAGCCACTGCGCCCAGCCGAGGCTACAAGATTCTGACCATTCCCCAAATTGTTCTTGGGGATAACATCACTATATAAAACCTAAGATCATGCTCACTTCAGCAATACATATAATAAAATTGGAACAATAGAGAAGATTAGCACGGCCCCTTGTGCAAGGATGACATGCAAATCCATGAAGCGTTCCATATTTGTTAATGTTTTAATTTTTAAAAATTATATACATAGGCCAGGTGTGGTGGCTCACGCTGGTAATCTCGGAACTTTGGGAGGCCAAGGCAGGTGGATCACTTGAGGTCAGGAGTTGAAGATCAGCCTGACCAACATGGTGAAACCTCATCTCTACTAAAAATACAAACATTAGCCAGCGTGGTAGAGGGTGCCTGTAATCCCAGCTACTCAGGAGGCTGAGGCAGGAGAATCACTTGAACCTGGGAGGTGGAGGTTGCAGTGAGCCGAGATCGTGCCACTGCACTCCAGCCTGGGCAACAAAGTTGGACTGCGTCTCAAAAAAAAAAAAAATATATATATATATATGTGTGTGTATACATATATATACACATACGTGTCATATATACGTTATATATTATATATGCAACATAATATCAGTGCTTGAGATATTCTGCAGAGCCTACGCTTGATTGGCTAGGCACAGTGGCTCACACCTGTAATCCGAGCACTTTGGAAGGCCAAGGCAGGTGGATCCCTTGAGGACGGGGGAGTTTGAGAGCAGCCTGGCCAACATGACAAAACCCCGTCTCTACTAAAATTACAAAAATTAGCTGGGTGTGGTGGCGGGTGCCTGTAGTCCCAGCTCCTCAGGATGCTGAAACACGAGAATCCCTTGGGGAGCTTGCAGTGAGTCAAGATCATTGTGCCACTGCACTCCAGCCTGGGCAACAGAGTGAGACTCTGTCTCAAAAAATATAAATAAAATAAAAAAGACCTTGCACTTGATGGATCAGCTGACCATCAAGTGGTCAATCTTGTGGCTCTGGTCAATCTTGTGGCTCCCCAACCCAGGAACTGACTCGGGGCAAGAGGATACCTTCGACTACCTATGATTTTTTTTTTTTTTCTTTGAGACAGAGTCTCACTCTGTCGCGTAGGCTGAAGTGCAGTGGCACGATTTTGACTCACTGCAGTCTCTGCCTCCTGGGCTTCAGTGATTTTAGTTCTTCAGCCTCCCAAGTAGCTAGCTGGGATTACAGATGTGCACCACCATGCCCAGCTAACTTTTGTTTTTGTTGTTGTTTTTGTTTTTGAGACAGAGTCTCGTCTCACTGTCACAAGGCTGGAATGCAATGGCTGGATCTCAGCTCACTGCAACCTCCACCTCTTGGGTTCAGGATTCTTCTGCCTCAGCCTCCTAAGTAGCTGGGACTACAGGCGCATGCCACCACACCCAGCTAATTTTTGTATTTTTAGTAGAGACAGGGTTTCACCATATTGGCCAGGATGGTCTCAATCTCTTGACCTCGTGATCCGCCCACCTTGGCCTCCAAAAGTGCTGGGATTACAGGCATGAGCCACCACATCCAGCCTAATTTTTGTTTTCTCAGTAGAGACAGGATTTCGCCATGTTGGCCAGGCTTGTCAGCCTCCCAGAGTGCTGGGATTACAAGCATGAGCTGCTACGCCCAAGTCAACTCCCTATGATTTCATCTCTGACCCAACCAATCAGCTTTCCCGACTCACTGCCCACCACCCACCAAATTATCTTTAAAAACTCTGATCCCTGAATGTTTAGGGAGACTGATTTGAGTAATAATAAAACTCCAGTCTCCTGCACAGCTAGCTCTGCGTGAATTACTCTTTCTCTATTGCAATTTCCCTGTCTTGATAAATCAGCTTTGTCTAGGCAGTGGCAAAGGGAACCCGTAGGGCAGTTACACTTTGCGTGTGTCCAGATCTCACTTGTCCTTCAAGTCCAGCTGGAAGGAGCCTTCCATGATCCCTTTGTCCATCCCAATCTCTGCCTCTCCTGCTGTTGATTGTTTAGCACCAGTGCGTGGCTACCTATCTATCTCTTAGATTAATCTTGCCTCTCCAGTTCATCTCAGAATTTAGATTTCTGTTGCCCTCCTGTGGTCACTGGAACTTGCACCAGCCAACAGATGTGCCCCACAGAGTGGCTACTAGGCATTTGTAGGGAGGGCTGGATGGGAGGGCCCAAGCAGGATTCCTCTCTATCTCTGCCCTGCTCTCCTCCACAAAACCCTGAAGGCCCAAAGCCTGCCCCTTAGGTCACAGATTCCTTATGTGACTTCACTGGGTAGTGATGACCTCACAAGCTTTCACAGTTTCCATGGCAGCGTGACTACACACCTGTGTCCTAGGGAAACCTCCCTACCATTTCTCTGTGAGATACCAATCTGGTTGGTTGGCTGAGAGACAATGTCTGACCGGATCCTCTATATTCTCTCTAACATGTCCTCTGTCCCCTGGGAGGGCAGCGCAGCAGGTAGGCATACAGGGGGCATCTATACAGGAGGCGTTGCTGTACCCACAGCTTCACCTGGCTGACACGTTCCTTTTGGGCTGGCCCACCACACCTCACAGCTTTCCTAGCCTAAGTAATATCGAGGGCGTGGCCACTCAGGGACCCACAGTCTTCCTGCTCACTGCTAAGGGCAAGTGAAATGTCATCTGAGCAGGTGTTCAGACAGGTTCTCATCATTTTTTTTTTTTTTTTTTAATTGAAACGGGGTCTTGCTATGTTGCCGGGGCTGGTCTGAATTTTTTGTTTTGTTTTGTTTTGGTTTGGTTTGAGACAGGGTCTCTGTCGCCCAGGTTGGAGTGCACTGGCATAATCACAGCTCACTGAAACCTCAGCTTCCTGGGCTCAGGGGATTCTCCCAACTCAGTCTCGCTAGTACCTGGGACTACAGGCATGCGCCACCACACCCAGCTAATTTTTTCTATTTTTAGCAGTGACAGGGTTTCGCCATGTTGCCTAGGCTGGTCTTGAACTCCTGAGCTCAAGCGATCTGCCCACCTCAGCCTCCCAAAATGCTAGGATTACGGGCATGAGGCACTGTGCCTGGCCCACCAATTGGTATTAGATATTTTTATTTTACTCTCGCTCTGTTACCCAGGCTGGAGTGCAGTGGCATATTAGATCCTTTTTTTTTTTTTTCTTTTTTGAGACGGAGTCTCGCTCTGTCGCCCAGGCTGGAGTGCAGTGGCCGGATCTCAGCTCACTGCAAGCTCCGCCTCCCGGGTTCACGCCATTCTCCTGCCTCAGCCTCCCGAGTAGCTGGGACTACAGGCGCCTGCCACCTCTCCCGGCTAGTTTTTTGTATTTTTTAGTAGAGACGGGGTTTCACCGTGTTAGCCACGATGGTCTCGATCTCCTGACCTCGTGATCCACCCGTCTCGGCCTCCCAAAGTGCTGGGATTACAGGCTTGAGCCACCGCGCCCAGCCTTTTTTTTTTTTTTTTTTTTGAGACAATGTCTCGCTCTGTCACCCAGGCTGGGGAGTGCAGTGGTACGATCTTAGCTCACTGCAACCTCCGCCTCCCAGGTTCAAGCGATTCTCCTGCCTCAGCCTCCCAAGCAGCTGGAACTACAGGTGCCCGCCGCCACGCCTGCCTAATTTTTTGTATTTTTAGTAGAGATGGGGTTTCATCATGTTGGCCAGGCTGGTGCTCCTGGACTCAAGTGATATTCCCTCCTCAGCTTCTCAAAGTGCTGAGATTACAAGCGTGAACCACCACACCCGGCCAATAGTAGATGATTTTTTACAAAACTTGAAAATAATTTCCGAGGCCGGGCGCGGTGGCTCAAGCCTGTAATCCCAGCACTTTGGGAGGCCGAGACGGGCGGATCACGAGGTCAGGAGATCGAGACCATCCTGGCTAACACGGTGAAACCCCGTCTCTACTAAAAAATACAACAAACTAGCCAGGCGAGGTGGTGGGCGCCTGTAGTCCCGACTACTCGGGAGGCTGAGGCAGGAGAACGGCGGGAACCCGGGAGGCAGAGCTTGCAGTGAGCTGAGATCCGGCCACTGCACTCCAGCCTGGGCGATAGAGCGAGACTCCGTCTCAAAAAAAAAAAAAAAAAAGAAAAGAATTTCCATTAAAGCCTGAGATGTGACAGACCTTAAGAAATGTATTTTTTGGAAGGGATGAGGAGTATCTCGTGGTCTCCTGCTGCTGCCACAGGCTCCACATAACTGCTTTCACAGCCAGCATCCTGTCTTAGGGGACACACAGAGGTGATAGGCCAAGGCTGTGTCTGGAATGCGAAGAAGATGAAAGGACTTCTTAGGAAGAGACGTGAGAGACGGGAGGCAACACAGTGTATAAGGTAAAAGTTACTAATTCTGGTTTTCTTTCCAGCTGCAGTGCCTGCCACTTCTCCTCCCACACCTGGGCACTACCATGTTCTCTACCGAGGGTGTGGGGAAACTCAGGTAGGCTGGCATGGGGAGACGTACTGCCTGGTTGGTGGCTACCGGGCCTATGGGGATACCCCTTTGGCCACCTCAACAAAGGCTGAAGCAGAGAAGCCAGCCCCCAGCCGTGCTCCCAAGAGACGTCAAGCTACAACAGAGTCAGATAAAGACCTCGGTTGCTCTAGCCCCAAAATTCGGCGCTTGGAGTATAGTGGCAGGAGACTGACCCCACAGAAGCTTGCTGGATGAGCCATTTGGGAGAAAGGACAAATGTTTAGCTGTCTGAGACAGCTAATGCCTCTTCTGCAGTGACCTCCCCTGCCCACCACTGCAGATAGCGCCTGAGTCATTCTACCTAAGCCTTCCTCATCCAGAAGCCCCCTTCCATGCTAACTACCCATGGGCAAGGAGCCTCAGAAACTGTGGTTTAAAATGAGAGGTTGCTTTGAATATCCCAACGCTGAAGCTGGCCTGGAAGAAAACCTGATGTTCCTCTATTCATCTCTCCAGAGTCCCTTTTTGGGCAGAAGAAAGAAAAATCTGTACTCTTGCTAGCCAAGGAGTCAACTGCAGAAAGAGGGTGCAGCATAGCCTAGCAGGGGCCTGGTCTACCAGATGGGCTTTTGCTTTGAGTTACTGCCAGCAACTACCAGCACAAACCAGGAGGGCCAGGACTTGCTGAAACTGGAAGCAGCAGCCCATGGCTAGTCACAGCAGGAGAAAGGCTCCTGCTGGGCATCTCAGGAGGTAGAAGAAAGAGACCTAGGGAGACCTGCCACCTACATCAAGAGCAATATGGAGGAAGTTGAGTAACATCCCCCCTGAAGCTCACGTGTTCCTTTACTTCCTCCCCATTATGGCCCCAGTGAGGTCCCTACTGCTCAATTTTTTAAAAAATGATCTAAAAAATTATTTTTCCATAACAGTGTTTGACTTGATCTTCTTTCTTTCTTCTTTTTTTTTTTTTTTTCTTTTTGATGGAGTCTTGTTCTGTCGCCCAGGCTGGAGTGTAGTGGCGCTATCTCGGCTCACTGCAAGCTCCGCCTCCCAGGTTCACACCATTCTCCTGCCTCAGCCTCCCGAGTAGCTGGGACTACAAGCGCCCACCACCATGCCCAGCTAATTTTTGTATTTTTAGTAGAGACAGGGTTTCACCGTGTTGACCAGGATGGTCTCGATCTCTAGACCTCATGATCTGCCTGCCTTGGCCTCCCAAAGTGCTGGGATTACAGGCGTGAGCCACTGCGCCTGGCCTCTTTCTTTTATTTTTCTTCTTCTTCTCCTTCTCCTTCTTCTTCTCTTTCTGTCTCTCTTTCTCTCTTTCTGTCTTTTTTTTTTTTTTTTTTTTTTTTTTTGAGATGGAGTCTTGCTCTTCGCCCAGGCTGGAGTGCAGTGGCGCAATCTCGGCTCACTGCAAGCTCCGCCTCCCGGGTTCACGCCATTCTCCTGCCTCAGCCTCCCGAGTAGCTGGGACTACAGGCGCCCGCCCCTGGGCCCGGCTAATTTTTTCTATTTTTAGTAGAGACGGGGTTTCACCATGGTCTCGATCTCCTGACCTTGTGATCCGCCCACCTCGGCCTCCCAAAGTGCTGGGATTACAGGCGTGAGCCACCACGCCCGGCCTCTCTCTTTCTGTCTTTCTTAGATGGGGTCTCGGCCCGGCACGTTGGCTCACTCCTGTAATCCCTGCACTTTGGGAGGCTGAGGCGGTGGATCACCTGAGGTCAGGAGTTCAAGACCAACCTGGCCAACACAATGAAACCCCGTCTCTTACTAAAAATACAAAAAATTGGCCGGGCACAGTGGCTCACGCCTGTAATCCCAGCACTTTGGGAGGCCGAGGCGGGCGGATCACAAGGTCAGGAGATTGAGACCATCCTGACTAACACAGTGAAACCCTATCTCTACTAAAAATACAAAAAATTAGCCCGGCATGTTGGCGGGCGCCTGTAGTGCCAGCTACTCAGGAGGCTGAGGCAGGAGAATGGCGTGAACCCGGGAGGCGGAGCTTGTAGTGAGCCGAGATAGCACCACTGCACTTCAGCCTGGGCGACAGAGCGAGACTCCATCTCAAAAAAAAAAAAAAAAAAAAAATTACCGAGCATGGTGGTGGGCCCTTGTAATCCCAGCTACTCAGGAACCTGAGGCAGGAGAATCGCTTGAACCTGGGAGGCGAAGGTTGCAGTGAGCTGAGATCGCGCCACTGCACTTCAGCCTGGGCGACGGAGTGAGACTCCATCTTATTAAAAAAAAAAAAAAGGCCGGCGCGGTGGCTCAAGCCTGTAATCCCAGCACTTTGGGAGGCCGAGACGGGTGGATTACGAGGTCAGGAGATCGAGACCATCCTGGCTAACACGGTGAAACCCCGTCTCTACTAAAAAATACAAAAAACTGGCTCAAGCCTGTAATCCCAGCACTTTGGGAGGCCGAGACGGGCGGATCACGAGGTCAGGAGATCGAGACCATCCTGGCTAACACGGTGAAACCCCGTCTCTACTAAAAAATACAAAAAACTAGCCGGGCGAGGTGGCGGGCGCCTGTAGTCCCAGCTACTCGGGAAGCTGAGGCAGGAGAATGGTCTAAACCCGGGAGGCGGAGCTTGCAGTGAGCTGAGATCCGGCCACTGCACCCCAGCCTGGGCGACAGAGCAAGACTCTGTCTCAAAAAAAAAAAAAAAAAAACTAGCCGGGCGAGGTGGCGGACGCCTGTAGTCCCAGCTACTCGGGAGGCTGAGGCAGGAGAATGGTGTGAACCCGGGAGGCGGAGCTTGCAGTGAGCTGAGATCCGGCCACTGCACTCCAGCCTGGGCGACAGAGCGAGACTCTGTCTCAAAAAAAAAAAAAAAAAAAAAAAAAGATGGGGTCTTGCCATGTTGTCCAGGCTGATGTTGAACTTCTGGGCTCAAATGACACATCTGCCTTGGCCTCCCAAATAAATAAAAATTAAAAAAAGAAACGCAGAACCTGGCCGACCACAGTGGCTCACACCTGTAATCCCAATACTTTGGGAGGCCAAGGGGGGAGAATTGCTTGAAGCCAGGAGTTCGAGATGAGCTTGGGCAACTAGTGAGATCCTGTCTCTACAAAAGTAAAAATAGGTATGGTGGTGTGCACCTGTAGTCCTAACCACTTCGGGGGGATGAGGCATGAGGATCGCTTAAAGCCAGGAGTTGAAGGCTGCAGTAAGCTATGATCACACCACTGCATTTCAGCAGTCTGGGTGACTGGTCTCAAAAAAGAAAAAAAAAAAAAAAAAGCCAAAAAAATGTAGAGCCCAGTGAGTCTTTCCGTGTGTGTGTGTGTGTGTGTGTGTGTGTTTGAGTGTTAGGAGAGAGAGGAAATGACTAAGAAGATGCTATTCAATCTATCAATCCACCCGTCCATCCATTCGTTTATTCAACAAGTATTTATTGGGCACTTTTTTTTTTTTTTTTTTGTAGAGACGGAGTTTTCTCTCCTGTTGCCCAGGCTGGAGTGCAGTGGTGCGATCTCGGCTCACCGCAACCTCCGCCTTCTGAGTTCAAGCAATTCTCCTGCCTCAGCCTCCTGAGTAGCTGGGACTACAGAGGCATGCCACTAAGCCCAGCTAATTTTTGTATTTTTAGTAGAGGTGGGGTTTCACCATATCGGTCAAGCTGGTCTCAAACTCCTAACCTCAGGCGATCCATCCTCCTTGGCCTCAGCCTCCCAAAGTGCTGGGATTACAGACATGACCACCACACCCAGCCTATCGAGCACCTCTTACATACCAGCCACTGTGCTGGTTTCTTGAGATATATTGGTGAATGAGAAACCCCTCCCCTCAAGGCACCCACAAACAATATAATTTGTTTATAGAGACAAACAAACAATATAATGCTTTGTTGTTGCTGTTGTTTGAGATGGAGTCTCACTCTATCACCCAGGGTGGAGTGGCGCGATCTCAGCTCACTGTAAGCTCCACCTCCTGGGTTCACACCATTCTCCTGCCTCAGCCTCCCCAAACGATATAATTTTAGATAACTATAACTGCTATAAAGAAAAATGAAACTGGATAAGCGAATACAGTGATGAGGTGTGCTGTGTTATACAAGGTGGTCAGGGAAGGCTTCTCTGAGATGATGACACTGTGGCTGAGATGTGAGGGAGTCATGTGAGGAGTCAAAGGGAGAGCATTACTGGAGGAAATTTCAAGTATAATGGTAAGAATGAGACTGATCGACCAGGCGCAATAGCCTAAGCCTATAATCCCAGCACTTTGGGAGGCCAAAGTGGGAGGATTGCTTGAGCCCAGGAGTTTGAGACCAGCCTGGGGAACAAAACAAGACCCTGTCTCTACAAATTTTAAAAGTACTGTTGGCTGGGCGCGGTGGCTCAAGCCTGTAATCCCAGCACTTTGGGAGGCCGAGACGGGCGGATCACGAGGTCGGGAGATCGAGACCATCCTGGTTAACACGGTGAAACCCCGTCTCTACTAAAAAATACAAAAAACTAGCCGGGCGAGGTGGCGGGCGCCTGTAGTCCCAGCTACTCGGGAGGCTGAGGCAGGAGAATGGCGTGAACCCGGGAGGCGGAGCTTGCAGTGAGCTGAGATCCGGCCACTGCACTCCAGCCTGGGTGACAGCGCGAGACTCCGTCTCAAAAAAAAAAAAAAAAAAGTACTGTTAACTTTTATAAGGGCCATAATGGTATGGTAATTGCCATTTATTTATTTATTTTATTTTTCAGAAACAGGGTTTTATTATGTTGCCCAGGCTGGCCTCAAACTCCTGGGCTCAAGCAATCCTCCTGTTTCAGCCTCCCAAGTAGCTAGGACTACAGGAATGGCCCAGTGCATCTGGCTTGTAGTTGTCTTTAAAAAGGAGCCATTGGCCGGGCGCGGTGGCTCAAGCCTGTAATCTCAGCACTTTGGGAGGCCGAGATGGGCAGATCACGAGGTCAGGAGATCGAGACCATCCTGGCTAACACGGTGAAACCCCGTCTCTACTAAAAAAAATACAAAAAAAAAAACTAGCTGGGCGTGGTGGCGGGCACCTGTAGTCCCAGCTACTCGGGAGGCTGAGGCAGGAGAATGGCGTAAACCCGGGAGGCAGAGCTTGCAGTGAGCTGAGATCCGGCCACTGCACTCCAGCCTGGGCGACAGAGCGAGACTCCGTCTCAAAAAAAAAGGAGCCATTACCATTTATTTATTTATTTATTTAGAGACAGAGTCTTTCTCTGTCCCCCAGGCTAGGTGCAGTGGCACAATCTCAGCTCACTGCAATCTCCGCCTCCTGGGTTCAAGCAGTTCTCCTGTCTCAGACTGCCGAGTAGCTGGGACTATAGGCACCCTCCACAACACCCAGCCAATTTTTGTATTTTTAGCAGAGATGGGGTTCGCCATGTTAGTCAGGCTGGTCTCCAACTCCTGACCTCAGGTGATCCACTTCAGCCTTCCAAAGTGCTGTGATTTCAGGCATGAGCCACGCGCCCAGCCTAAAAAGAGCCCTTACCTTTTAGAGAGGCATACTTAAAAATGGATGAAATAGATGTCTATGATTTGCTTTAAAATAATCTGTAGAAAGGGGTGAGTGAGAGATCAATGAAATAAGATGGACCATCATTTGATAATCGTTGAAACTGGGTGATGGCTACATGGGAGTTAATACACTTTTCTCCCTCCTTTCTCATGTATTTGCAATTTTCCCTATAAAAAGTGTTTTGGTCTGGTCACAGTGGCTCATGCTTATAATCCCAACACTGTGGGAGGCTAAGGTGGGAGGATCGCTTGAGACCCGGAGTTTGAGACCAGCCTGGGCAACATGGTGAAATCTCGTCTTTATAAAAAAAAAAAAAAAAAAAAAAAATTAGCTGGGTGTGGTGGCCCCACCCTGTAGTCCCTGCTACTCAGGAAGCTGAGGTGGGAGGATCACCTGAGCCCCGAAGTTTGAGGCTGCAGTGAGCCACT